ACACCACTAATTCATCAACAAACCAATTCAACATGACGGGGTCGGTTTATTACTGAATGAATCACATAAAAGGCTCCCACCTCAATTTAAAATGCACGCTTCATTTAAAAACAACAATAATAAATAGCAACGCGCACCAGACTAGCCGGTGCGATCATGCGTTTGGTGCAATTCAGCCCATCGAACGATTGCCCATTATTGATTTTCACTGCCTTGTATTTTATGCAAAAATAGTTCAAACATTGGAAAACAGTTAAAAATTTCACACACCAGCGCATGAAAGCTGAATTCGAAACCTTGAAGAGTGAATATCTTTCCGTAATTCCCGAGTTAATAATTTACCCGCCAGAATTTTCATGAGGCCGTAGGTGATACTCAAGAGCGCGGAACGCTGAATTTGAATAGGCAGAGCTGAGCATGAGCAGGGGATCATTACCCAAAAATTTCAGATTCCTGGACCCCGTGGTTCCGGAGATAATAGTTTACCCGTAAAAATTTTCACTAGCCCGCAGGTGGTGAGAGCGCGGGAATGCTGAATTTGAGAGCGCGGGAATGCTGAATTTGAAAAGGCAAGGTTGAGCGTGGGCATGGAATCATTACCCTAAAATTCCAATTTCCTAGACTCCGTGGTTCCCGAGATATTAATTTACCCGTAAAAAAATTTCACGGGGCCATACGTGTTACCCGCGGCTACGGGGAAGCTGAATTTAAATCTGCGGGGTCAAACGTGGGTGGGGAACGTTCCCCTGTTCAGCGCTTTCCTAGTTTTTGGGTTCCCGAGTTGAAAGTTGCGGACAAGTTGCTGCGGACACACACACACACACACAAACACACACACAGACAACCCCGTGACAATATGCGTTTTGTACTGCTGTCACACAGCATAAAACGCATAAAAATATCGACAACATCTAACAGTATTTGGAAATAAAAGCAGTAAGTACTATCAAATCACCTGTTTGGGCCAAGGGACAATTTCAAAAAATTTTCTTCAAAGATATTGACAAGATGTGGACTGCGAATTAGTCGGCTGGGATTCGGATTCAGGTTATTGATGACACGTGCACAGTTATTAAAGGCGTTTGACTGACATGGGCAACGATGGGCACTGTTCGGCGAGTCACATCCCATATGGAGCAAGTGACCACAGCTAAAATATATATTTAGGACATATCCAGGCACTGATCAGCATACTTTAACATTACGGACAACTGCAATACCGTAACTGCATTCCTTCTCATCGTTAAACAGCTAGCAAATTTTGCAGGAAGAAAGAATGAAGAATAATGCACAGCACAAAATTCAACTAGAATTCAGAGTGGTTGTGCAGTACTGCTTACCTGAACAGAAATGACGACTTGTGAGGTAAATTACCACAACTGATGCACATATTTGAGATGATCAATTCGCTGCTGCGGCGTGTTGATTGCTTCATCAAATCATTTAAACTAAATAACTTTTGCTTTTTAAAAAAAATTCGACAGAACCAGGAAAAAAAAAAGCTGCAAATCCAAGACCTAAGTGGGTTATCCTGAAACTATCGATACTACCCTTTATAATAAAATTAACGACTTTAACTTCATAGTTAGCACACACTCCTATTTGGACAGTATTATTCACTCTAATGTACATATACTGCACCCACATAGACATAATTTTTTTATACATCTACTTAATCTGCCCCAGAAACTCCAACACCTTCCTCTCGCTTATAATTTTCTTCCT